CTTGTTAGAAATTCTAGGGCCCGACCCCAGATCTACTAAATCAGAAACTCTAAGGGTGAGGCCTAGCAATCTGTATTTCAAGAAGCCTCCAGGTGATTCTGATACCCGCTTAAGCTTAAGAACCACTGTGTTACAGAACAGGCTTTAGTGGGGTGTAAAATGGGAGGGAGAGGAGTAGTATCAGTAGTAGCATCAGAACCTGTCTAACTTCAGGGGGAATAACGCAAATCAAGATCAGCCCAAGGCTGATCCCAACGAGGTGGAGATAAGACATACCTACACTCTCCATTTTACCAGTTCTGACATCAGCCATCCCTCCCACAGCATGCTCTGCTTCTCTTCTGGGTTTAATAATTTGTTGCAAAGGCCACAGAGAACTCACAGCCCATACTTACAGTTAAGTGGTTTGTTAAGGAACAGGCTACACCTCAGGATCAGGAAGCCCACAGGCAAAGTCTCCCTTCTTCAGTGCAGGGCAGCTTTCTCAGCTCCTCTTGACTGTGCATGCCTCCTCTCAGGCCCACTGAGGACCGGCTTCCCCTTGGCCCTGTCATCTGTCACCACTGACTTTGCCACTAGGCCTCTTCCAGGCCTGTTGCTATCTTCAGTGTTACAGCCCTTGACCTGTGTTACAGCTCTTTTAGGAGGTTCGTTGCCTCCTCTCTCCCTCTCTTCTTTCTTCTCTTTGCTTCTTCCTGTCTCTGTCTGAGAAACCTCTGTGGGGCAGGCTGCATATATATATATAGAGAGAGAGATATACAATGCCTTGTCAATTTCAAGGCACAGGGCTACAAACTGACCAATCCCCTCCACAGGCCACAGACACTTCATTTGCATAGTAGGTGTAGATGGGCTAGAATGCATCTCATTTGCATAGTCTATTGACCAATCCTTGCAAACTGCATACCAATCACAGGGCAGGTTGCAGCCCAGGACCAGACAAAATAGTATCAAACCGCAAGCTGTTTACAGCTTACCCAGGAAATGTCAATCAACCTGGACAAAAGTAACAAACCCTCTAGGATAGAAAACTAGGCCAAAGGTAACTCCTAAGGGCTTGGGGGGACAATCGCTCAAGCTGTTTTTCCAAAGAACCAAGGCAAAAGCCAAAGAAAGGCGCTCATTTCACCACATGGGGAAGCATACAAGGCAGCAATTAGTAAGAAGTCACAGGTTCCCACGGCAAGTATGAGGACAACTGTTAGTAGGGGTAATCAGTGCTTTATGGGAGTTTCCCTAGTTCTAAGATCTTGTGATTTTACATGTATTCTAAATTCTTTGACCTCAAAATATCTCCTACCATGCTGGCACCTGATATACCATAAAACACAGTTCTTGTCATATAACTCATACATTTGTGCCTCAAAACAACCATCAGAGGTAGCTATTTCTGTCCCTGCCCGAAGTCACACAGTGAGTTAACAGCAGACCCAAGTCTTCTTTCAAAGCCCACTCCACTGCTCCACAAAATCCCCCAAGCCTCATCCTCCCTTCTCCCTTTTCAGAAAAAAAAAAAATTCCACCCAGGACCCGACAAGATACTGCAGGACCCTCAGCCAATTACTTCTTTCCCCATGCAGCTTTGATGCGAGAACTCAGACATCAGGAGCAAGGGTGAGGGGGCAGGAGACACATCATCTTTCATTGTGGGTTAATGGTCATGTCACAGATGTGACACATTAGCAGACCTGAGATCAGAGGTAAGTTTGAGACCAGATGTGAAAGGAAGGGGTGTAATTTTAAAAGAAAAGGTTCTGAGAACTGGCAGGGCATCTCCAAAGAGGAAAGGAAAAGGCTAGGATAACAGAAACCAGAACCCCTGGAGAGCTGGAGGTGGGGGACTGCTTGGGATCTCACAGGAGGGACCATCTGAAAAGGTATTTCCTGTGCCTGGAAGGAGACACACGTGTGGGGAAGGGAAGCGAGCTTAACCTCAGGCAGGGGACACTTGGAGGGAGCAGCATGGCTGCTGTACAACAGAAGATGCTTACCTGTCTGGCTCAGCTGAACAGCAGCCTTTCCTTTTTCTATGAGAGGTCATTGTCCCAAAGGCCACCATGGTAAAGGAGCTGGGGTGGGGGCTGTGAGCACCCTTCTCTGACTGCAGCCTTGTCTTGAGGGGCCCTGGGTTACAGTACCAGGTTTACTGATCCCTCTCAAAGCCTATTTCCTCTTCTGTAAAATGGGAACTTAAGTCTCTACAAAGTTGTCATGAGGAACAAATAAGATCATGCCTATAAAGTGCTTACTTAGCATAATGTCTGATACATAATGGGTGTCCAAGAAAAGGCAATGGGTATGCTAGTGGATCTCGGTCTATTTTGACCATTGGTATGTCATGATCAGCTGAGAAATGGATCCCCATGTCATCTGTTACTAACAGGTCCCCAAGTTTGTAAATTAGTTATAGCAGAGTCACATCATGTATGCATGTAATTTATACAACTTCAACAATATGCAGGAAAAAAAAAAATGGGTGAGAACTGTCCAAGGGCAGGATACCCCAAAGAGCATCTAAGCTGGAGCGAGCATAGAGAGGATCTGCTGACCCTTCAGTTTTCAGCCCCTTGTGCCTCTCAGACCATGAGCCACTGAGTGTGACTCAAAGGTTTTGCATCACATCAAGTCTTTAGAACTTAATGTGAGTCCTCACTCAGTGCCTTCCTTATGTCACTCAGATGCCTTTGCACCCAAATAGTAGAAGAGATGGCATTACAATGCCAGATACAGCCAAGGCAGCGCCAAGCACGAGGCTGTGGACTTAAGACTGGGAAAGCTGAGCTGTGGGGGAGGATCTGCTTCAACCTCAGGTGCCTGATGTTCCCTTGTTTGACTCTCAACTGCCCCTGAAGAAGGAATACTAAAGACAGCCCCAACCCCAGCCCACTACCTTCCCTAGTGGAAGGGCTCTGTCAAAATATCACGCCTCAAGCAGAGCAGCCTTCACTTAAACAGTCCCCATTTGTCTCCATGAGAGCATGAGTGAGTTGAAGTTCAGGTGTCACCACTTACTGTGCCACCTTGGGTCAGATTACTCGGCCTCTCTGAACCGGTTTCCTCCTTAGTAACATGATAGTAATAATACCTCACAGCCTGAGAATACAGAAGTGAACAAGCCACAATTGTGGAACTACTGTCAAGTGGGGACATTCCAGGAGTCTGTGCTGCCTGAGGATTAAACTCAAAGGTCTCATTCTGGCCTAAGGCCTTTCCTGTCCCCCAGGCCACCTTTCCAGCTCTCTTACCCCATGGCTCCCCTATATACAGCCAAACAACTCCACCACCATCCTCACTCACACTCTTCCTTAAGCTGTTCCTGCTGCCTAGAATGCCCCTGCCTTCAATTCCTCCTGTTAAAAACCTTCAGTTCTTTCAAAAATCAGTTCTAGTGCCACCACTTCCCTGATGACTGTCTCCTACTGCTAGCAGGCACTGTATTTTGAAGCTGGGCAGAGAAAGGGGAGTGCCAAGAGACGGCAAGGCTATTTGTTTATCTGCTTTCTCAAGCTTCAGATTTTGGCAGGCTGGGGTCAGATCTTGAACATCCTGGCATCCCCCATTGGGCGTTCTATTCAGTGGCTGCCCATCTCTCCAGTAGCCTTCCCAGGTGGGGTCTTGCTTTTCCTTGGTTCCCAAGGTCAGAACAGGAGTTCAGTAAATGATCATTCGAGCACATGGAACAAAGCCCAGCCCAATGTCCCACCTGCCTTCCAGTGATTTAAATAATGGTGAAGCCCTTGTAAACTGTGTTTTGGAAAGCCACTTTAATTACTGAATCTCCGCCCTCATCTGTAAAGTTAGGATAATAACAAGGTTGTTGTGAGAATAAGTGAATCGATTACAAAGCCTCAGCACCCAGTCGGTGCTCAATAAATAGTCCCCCAAGGAACACTGGATCAATTCAAAGAAAAGTAGTAATGGGGAGAAAAAGAAAATATGAATAAGAACACAAAAAACAAGGCAGAGGGAATAAACACAAACAAAATATGATAAATTCGCCGATTAAATGACTGAATTAAAAAAAACAAGCTATTTACGAGAGATATAACTGAAGAAGAGATGAGTTCCCTCTTTACTTCCAAGCCCAAGAAGTTGCCTGTGGCCCTTACTATCCACGCTGCAGATAACCCCTTCTGGACCAGTCTTCTTGCTGTTCATTAGCATTTAACTATGACCCCTTGTTCATGCCACACACTGACAGCAGTGGATTATCTATATAATAAAGGCTCAAAATCCTTTCAGGCACCAAAATTTTTATTAACCCACTTTCTTTCTCTCCTTAACACATTATAAACCAAATTAACTTCTTTCTGACCCAGGGATGTGATAGAAACTGGCAAGTTACAAAGCAGTGGCAGACCTATACGTGCTTTTACATTTTTCTGGCCCCTCTCAACCTCTCGTTGTCACTTCTCTTGCTCTCTTGGCTGTCCCCTAGTAGTCTATTCTAACCCCTGTAAAATAGGGACTAAAAGTTCCAAGCTCACTGTCCCGAGGTTTAAGAGAATGCCTGCACTAAGCCAGGCTCTCAGGAGCATTTAAACTCTAACAGTTCCACTCTGCCCTTTGAGTGCTCCTTCTGATCTGCCACGGGCTGAGGAATCAGTAAGCCTGTAAACCAAGCACACGGGTAAAGTCCATAAGGCCAACTGAGGACCCAGATGTAAAGCGCATGGGCTTTGATCACTGCCTAAAGACTGACTGAGTGAGCAGTTCCAAGACCCCTGAGCTCATGGTTTCCTGTAGGTGTCTCCTCGCACCTCCATCGTGACCAGGGCTTTGGGAGGGTTTTCTCAATGCCCCTTGCCATACCCGGAACAGTATGAGGGATGCAGCAGGGGCCAAGGCTGAGTGACCAGCTCTAGGGAGTGGATCGAAGGGGACAATGACAAACCAATCTCAAAGTTAGTGCCATTTGTTCTTGAGGAGGAGAATTGGGGCCTGGGCAGGGACTCCAGTTGGAAGGCAAAGGGCAGGCCTGGCTTTCAATAGCGGTAGTAATCAGCCTTGAAGGGGCCATCGGAGGGCAAGCCCAGGTACTGGGCTTGCTTCTCAGTCAGCTTGGTCAGCTTCACGTTCAGCTTGCCCAGGTGGGCTTCAGCCACCGCCTCATCCAGCTGGGGGAAAACACAGAAAACCTGAGATTAGTGTCATGCTTTGCGGCCTCCCGCCACTGAAAGACACAGAAACTGTTCTGTTGGGGCTTGGAGACATATGTGTTACCCATATTACCTCATTCCATCCTTATACCCAGACTGCAGGGGATGTGTTGCTTTTGGCTGCCCAGCTCCCTTCGTTGAGAGGGAAGCACACCACATCCTCCTCTCCAAGTGAGCCTGGTGGAACCATCAATTACATCCCTCCCCGAGTCCCAAATGACCCAAGCAGCTAACCAAAACGTTTCTCTGGAATTCATCTATGGACAGGATATATTTTCTAAGAAAGGTAGAGAAAGGGGCACCATGGGGATTTCTAAACAGGGAGGTTGTCTGTCTCAGCTGAGTGGTGAGTTTATTTGACAAATGAAGTGAACGTAGATCAAACAGAGAAAGACAGAGCTCTGATGACACTGAACCCCTGGATCCAGTGTCTGAGTCTTAGACGTCTCCATTATAGAGCCAATAGAGTTCCTTTTCATTAAACTAGTTGTGGTTGCTTTAAAATATGTCCACAAATTGTTTGACACTCCTTCCTTCACAAGGTAGAGCCTAATTCCCCTCCCCTTGAATGACTCGCTTCTAATGTACCGAACAGAGCGGAATTGATGGTGTGCAACTTTGGATAGGTCATAAAGGCACTGTGGCTTCTTCCTTGCTCTCCCCTGGATCACTTGCTCTGGGAGAAACCAGCTACCATGTTATGAGGATACTTGAACAGCCCTATCGAAAGACCTCCTACCAGCAGCGATGCGTTGTGGATCCTCCAGCTCTAGTCAGGCCTTCAGATGACTGCAGCCTGACAGAAATCTTGACAGCAACCTCATGAAAGACTATTCCGTCAGAGTCAACCAGCTAAGCTGCTCTCAAATTCTTGGACCACAGAAATGGGAATAAAAAATCTTTGTTGTTTTAAGCTACTAAATTTTAGGGTTAAATTGATATACAGCAATAGATAACTACTATACTGGTGGTCTGGCCAGGATTCCTTTGCTCCACTTACCACCAAAAGGATCCTAAGTAATAAAAAGTTAGGATCCTAAGTAATAAAAAGTTACAATCCCCCCCGTTACAGATAAGGAAATCAAGGCTCAGAAAAGTGAAATGACTTGTCCAAGGTCACATAGCTAGTGAGTGACAGAGCTGGGATTTAAACCCAGGTCCAAAGCCTCAGAACTTGTCCCAAGCATTTCAACCTTGGCCCCTGGGGAAGCTTTGAAGAGATGGAGCAGACTCCCAGGACATAGGCTGGGGTTAGATAAGACACATACCTACCTCTGACCTGTGCTACAATGCATAAAAGAGACCTTAAAAGGAGGGCAAGTGATGGCACTGAGAGAAGGGTCAACCCTGAAGGGGGCTCTCAATTTCTCAGCTTTCTGCTCTGGGTGGGGCCTTCCCCTGTCCTTGAGAGGCTCCAATTCCCATTCCATGATGGCCTGATAGCTTTTGGCCACAGGCAGCCCATTCCCAAGTGGTTTCACTTCCATTGTCTCATTAACCTGCTGCCATAGAATCAACGCATAGCAACCCTGTAGGACAGAGCAGAGTTGCCCCACAGGGTTTCCAAGGCTGTGATCTTTACGGAAGCAGACTGCCACGTCTTTCTCCCGCAGAGCAGGCTGATGGGTTCAAACCACCAATCTCTCAGTTAGCAGCTGAGCACTTAACCACTATGCCACCAGGGCTCCTATTGTCTCATGAGAGCCTCACTAACGCCCCTAAGAGTTAGGGAGGGCAGGGTTTACTCTTACATTTAACACATGAAGAAACTGGAGCCCAGAGAAGATGGTAACGTGCTCAAGCAAAACACAGGTAAAGGCAGCACCAGAGCCCATCTGCGTCCAGGTCAGTTCTGGTGGCAGAATGAAGGCCTCTAATTCCCAGGGTACAAACTGAATCATCCCTTCACCTGCCTGGCCTGGCCTAGCCCAGAATACCCCTCCTCCTCCCTGTACCCCGCCCCTAGAAGGCTATCTGTGATAGTGGGTAACAACTTGGACAGACAGAGCTGGGTCTATTCCTGGCCTGATACTTGACAGCTATGGGAGCGACTCAATCTCTGAACCTTAGTTTCCTCATCTGTAGGATGGACCTAACAATTATTCATCTCTCATGGCTGTTACAAAGATCAGGGTTATGCAGAGTGCTTGGTACAAGCAGTCACCTTACCAAATAAATGGGGACTGTTCTCCATCATTCTTGTTAACCAAGATGCCTAATCCCTTGCCTACACATGGCCTGTGAGGCATGAAGGTGAGGGTATCCGGCCCCCAGTCTATGTTTTGGCAGTGGTGGAGGAAAGGGGCTGCAGCAGGAGGCAAAATGTTTGCCTCTTTTGTTTCCAATCATGGCCTCATTTCAAAGACCAACCTTGCCTAACTTCTCACCAAATTCATAGCCGTATTTCCCCTAGATGGAATCAGATGAGGGCCAAGGGGGTATCTTTCTTACTCTACAAGCCTAGAGATCTGGCAGGCTGTACGGAATGGGGTAGCCCTTGAGGCTCCTACAGGCAAAACATTTGGTCTGGCAAGTCAGGGTCCCAGGGAGACTTGGTGGAAAGCAGTTGGCTGACCCTGGGCACAGATGTCCCATGCCTCGAGTGAATGCACCAGGTGTCTTCCAATCTCTTTCTCAGTTGATGTAACCAGCCTATCAAGACGTAAAAGCGGTGGTATGGAGATCCCCATCACAGCCTCTCCAGCAGCCAAAGGCTGTAAGAGTTAAGAGCCACTCTCACCAGAGCTGAAAGGGAAACTAAGGCCCAGAAAGGGCAAATGGCAACACCAAGTTCACCTGTGACACTGGCAAAAAGAGCCAGGACTTAAACACGGCAATTCTGACCCCTGGGGTGGGCAGGCTGCATGGGGTGTTAGGATGAGCGCTGGATTTGATGTCAGAGTACCTGATCGTCATGGTTACCCGGACCACACGCCACAGCGAGTTAGGTGCCGTGCTTAGTGTATTATCTGTACCATCTCATTCTAAGGCCACGGAACTGCAGCCTGTGAGCTACACTCGGCTTATAGACGTGTCCAGGTTGACCACCCAGGTGATTTTTAAAAACTGTAACGAGTTGCCTAGATTTAAAAATTGAGTATTCCATACAAAGATCTTGACATCTGGCTTCTCTTCAAAGGTCAGAAGCTCTGGCCCAATAGGCTCGGGTTCAAGGGTAACGTCAGCTGAGTGGCAGCCACCCCTTTTCAGTGGGACATCTGCTCTTCCGTTTCTCAGTTCCCACCCAACCCGCTTTACTCACTGACTTGATCCCTGTGAGCATGTGGGTTTGTGAGTCCTGACCTAAGGAAACCCTCATAATCCCTAAAGGAGACCTACCGCCTTCATTTTATACATGAGGAAATGGAGACACAGAGAAGCTAAGTAACTTGCCCCCAGTTACACAGCCTATAAGGGGTGAAGCTGAGATTCAAACCTGATGTGTCTTATTCCAAAGCCCATGCTCTTCCCATTACCAGCTCTGCACTCTGGGTGTGCTCCAGGGGAGTCATTCCCTACTTTAGGTCTGTTTCCTCCTCTGTCAAATGGGGAGAATGATTTCTTCCCTGTAGGATCCTGTGAGGACCTCTACTCTAAGAGGGCAGACAGGCAAACACTTTCTAAATTCTGATGAGCCTGGCATAGGAAGCTAGGGAGAGACACATGGCCCTTGGCCTGGGATGGAGGTAGGAACCCACCTTCTTGGGCAGGAAGTGGACACCGACGGGGTACTTGTCCGGGTGGGTCCACAGTTCAATCTGTGCCAGCACTTGGTTGGTGAAGGAGTTGCTCATCACGAAGCTGGGGTGGCCCATGGCACAGCCCAGATTGACCAGCCGGCCCTCGGCCAGCAGAATGACGTGGTGCCCATTCTTCAGCCGATAGCGGTCCACCTGCAAGTGGGCAGAGCAGTGGTGAGGGCTGGCAGGCATTTGCACCCACTGTCCACCCTACCTTCTTGTCCATCAGGCCTCCCTACCCCCAAATAAACTCCACCACAGGGCCTGGTGTACACAACAAATAATAATAGCCAATATTTATTAAGCAACTCTGAGCTGCAGACCTCACGAGTCTGCTGTGAGAATTTAATGGGCCGATACATATAAAGCACTTAGCACAAGGCTTGGCACATGCTAAGTAATCAATAAATATTAATCTGTTGTTCTTCTTATTATTATTGCCATGTGCCCAGTGCTAAATTCTTTACATATATTAAACACATTTAATTCTAATAACAACCCTATGATTTAAGTATTACCATTAGAACTTAGAAGAAGCCTGCTAGGACAGTGGTTAAGTGCTTGGCTGCTAACTGAAAGGTCAGTGGTTTAAAGACACCAACCACTCTGAGGGAGAAAGATGTGGCAGTCTGCCTCCATAAAGATTTACAGCCTTAAGAAATAATCTTTGTTGGTTATAAGGGATGGGAGCAGTGGGAGTGGGGGGGGGAACTAAACAGACAGTAGGTAAGTGGTAACCTTGGTGAAGGGTAAGACAGTACACAACACTGGGAAAGTCAACACAACTTGTACGAGGAAAGGTCATGGAAGCTCCATAGATACATCCAAACTCCCTGAGGGACTGAATTTCTGGGCAGAGGGCTGTGGGGACCATGGTCTCCAGGAACATCTAGCTCAACTGGCATAACACAGTTTCTAAAGACAATGTTCTACATTCTACCTTGGTGAGTAGCGTCTGGGGTCTTAAAAGCCTGTGAGCAGCCATCTAAGATACTCCACTGGTCTCACCCTTTAGGGAGCAAGGGAGAATGAAGAGAACAGGATACAAGGAAAAGATCAGTCGAAAGGACTAACGGACCACAGTTACCACGGCCTCCACCAGACTGAGTCAAGTACAGCGAGATGGTGTGCGGCTACCAGCAGACTGCTCTGACCGGGCTCACAACTGAGGGTCCTGGACAGAGCTGGAGAAGGATGTGGAACAAAATTCTAACACACAAAGAAAGACCAGATTTACTGGCCTCACAGACTGCAGAAACCCCGAGAGTATGGCCCCCAGGCACCCTTTTAGCTCAGACATGAAGTCACTCCCAAGGTTCACTGTTCAGATGGGGATTGGACAGCTCCATAAAATAAAACGGGACTAATGAGGCACAGCAGTCCAGGGACAAGGACTAGAAGGCAGGCCGGGACAAGAAAGCTGGTGATAGGGAACCCAAGGTTGAGAAGGGCCAGTGTTGACATGTCGTGGGGTTGTTAACCATTGTCATAAGGCAATATGTGTACTGTTTAATGAGAAACTATTTGTTCTGTAAATCTTCATCTAAAATACAAAAAAAAGAATTATCTCTGTGAGATCAAATTGACAACAGCAACTCAAAAGGTTTGATGGGAAGCCTAGAGGCCAGTGAGTTGAAGGTAATGGGGATGGAATAATTTGGAAAACGATAGTGAGAATAGCAGCACAACTGGAACAATGTAATTGATATCACTAAATTGTACACGTAGAAATTTCTGAAATGGTGTATCTCTGGCTATATATATTTTCACCAAAAAAAAAAAAGGCCCTCCAAGGTCGAGAAGGGAGAGTTTTGACATGTTGTGGGGTTGTTAACCAATGTCATAAAACAGTATGTGTACTGACTGTTTAATGAGAAACTATTTGTTCTGTAAACCTTCACCTAAAGTACAATAAAAAACTATTTAAAAGAAGATTTACAGCGTTGGAAACTCTATGGGACGGTTCTAGTCTGTCCTATAGGGTCATTAGGAGTTGGAACCGACTAGACAGCAACAGGTATTAGTACTTAAAGGAGTCCCTAGGTAGTGCAAACAGTTAAGTGCTCAACCACTAGCTGAAAGATTAGTGATTTAAACCCACCCAGAGGCACCGTGGAAGACAGGCCTGGCGATCTGCTTCCAAAAGGTCACAGCCTTGAAAACCCCATGGAGTAGCCCTACTCTGCACACATGGGATCACCGTAAGTGGGAATCAACTCAATGGCAACTAACAACAACATCGGTACTTCCAAAACTGAAGTTTAAAAGGGTAAGTCATTTGCCCAGAGCCACACACTAAAATGTGGCTACAATCTGGGCCTGGTCAGTCTGAGAATAGATCCTATGTTCTCAACCACCATGCTTAGTAAAAGCTGAATGCCCCAGCTCTCAACCGTGGCTGCACATCGAAACCACCTTAGGAGCTTTAAAAAACAATCGAGATACCCTGGCCTCGCTCCCAGAGATTCCAGTTTAATTGGTCCAGGCTGATTCTGCCAAGGTTGAGAACCCTGGTTTAGTGGGTGAAGGAGAAATGAAAATCACTAGCCTCAACCCCCACAACCCTCCATCTCTCCCAAATGCCTGAACACACACAAAGGCGCTTTTCTCCCCTCCCATCCTTGCACCTACAATCCCTCATCCCTGACACTGACTCCCACACATCTCCCCAAAGGCCCAGGTTTCCAGGCTACTCCAAAGGCCTATTACAGTTCCAAGGAAAGGTCTTTGATGTCCATCCAGTATTCATTCATTCAATAAACATTCACTGAAACTGTTTGAGCCAAGCCCATTGCAGGGATACATTAACCTGGACTCTGCACTGATGGTTCAACTGGGGAGACCAGAACCAGTGATTCCAACTGCAGGTGAAGGATGCTATACTAGAAGTCTGCACAAAGGGTTGTGGGCATCTTCCTCTGCCTGAGGAGCTGGCCAGGAAGGGGGTCCCTTGAGCTGGGGTTTGGAGCATGTGTGGGAGTTCAATGGGCAAAGAAAAGGCATTTGCTCCATTCTAAAAAAAAAAGGAGCCGCCATCTAGACAGATAACAGAAGCAGGGACTATGGTGGTGCGTCCAGGAGGTGGTCCAGGGGGCCCGAGTGTACGGGTCCTTGGGAGGACAGGTAGAAAACGAATTGGGAAAAAAGTTGGCAGGACTGTCAAAGATCTTGAGGGTGAGAATAGAGACAGCTTGTGGAAGGGGTTACCCATCAACCCAAGGAAGCCCCACGTGGCCTTTGCAGAGAAAGGCCTGGCTAGCTCTCAGGGGTGTTCGGTGCCAGGTAAGCATGCCCCACCCACTCTCTTGTGTGGTGAGACTGCCAGGCCTCCTAAGCAGAGAGATGGAGGCACCCTCTGCCTGGCCAGGAACTGACACCTGTAGGCTAGTGCAGGCCCCACCTGGAATTCAGGGGAATGGGGTGGGGCGGGTTGACGGGTGCTGCGTGTGCACAGAGGGGCGCCTGCCCACCTCTCTGGGGCTCGGGTCTCCTGGCTGGCATGTGGTGTGTCTCTGATCAGGTGGTTCGGCCAAGTCTGTGTCTATTATCTTCTGCATAATGTCGCAAGGATAGCGATGGGCACCAAAACACCCCATTTAAAATGTTTTTTTTCCCCTTTTAAAAACTGTTCACTTTTAGTATATAAAATTAGAAAACAAAAAACACAGCTGCTTAAAAAAATACCTTACTAATAGTGAGATTATTCTCAGTTTTCCCTATTACAGCTAAACAGCACTGTGACGAACATCCTTATGTACATACTTAATTATCTCCTAAGGATCAATTATTAGGAGAAAGACTACCAAAAGAATTTGCTTAACTATAAAGCTGTTGATATCCAAAGTCAAAATGCCTTCCAGAAACACTTTATTACTTTTATAATCAGAGAAAAATAACTCCACAATAAATGTAACTCAAATAAAATTTTACATATTCCAAAGGAACTCATTTTTCAATTACCTCATTGTAAAATTATTCTTCCTCAACTCTGTCTTCACAGCTCAGTAAATGGTCCCACTTTTTGCACAGCTGTCCAAGCCAGACATCTAGTGTCTTCTTGATTCTTCCCTCATCCTGACCCCACATCCAGTCCATCCATCATCCACTTTTCTCCATTTCCCACCACTCCAAGTGGAGGCTGCCATCACCCCTCTCCAGGACTACTAAAAGAGCAACCTTTGAAAGCCTCCTTGCCTCCCCTCTTCCTCTACTGTTTTCACAGAGTAGCAGAGTAGCAAGAGAGACCTTTCTAAAACAGCAATCTCACCTGCCTAAAACCTTCCAGGGCTCTTGCTGACACTTCAAGCCTGGATCTGAAACCAGGCCCTCCTTCTCCCCATCCTACTGCCCAGGTTGCACCAGGTTCCTTATCTGCCCTCCACGGTGGCCAACCCATGAGCTCACCCCTCCTAAGCCTTCCATTTGCCCACTCTGCCAGCAGGGCTGGAGCTTCTCACCTGAGGCTTTATGTTCACCTTCTCCACAGCGTTCTCGTTGAGCCACTTGACATCAATCTCCACATCAAAGTGTCCGATGTTACACACGATAGCATCATCTTTCATCTGCTCAAAGTGCCTGTGGGGGAGTCCAAGCTCGTGGGAGACAGTTAGGAACAAAGAGCAGCCCCAGGCCTGCCTCCCTCCCTCAGGCTCCAAGGCCCTCACCCAGCACCTACCGGCCAAGGATGATGTCGACACAGCCTGTGGTGGTGACAAAGATGTTGCCCTCCTGACAGGCCTCCTCCATGGTGGTCACCTCATAGCCTGTGCAGAAACAGTGGCCACGAGTTACTGGAGGTGACACTGCCCCTCCTCTGGCCCCAGTGACTCACAGCCAACCCTCCCCGTATCGTACCCTCCATGGCAGCCTGCAGCGCGTTGATGGGGTCAATCTCGGTGATGATGACACGAGCCCCGAAACCTCTCAGGGCCTGGGCACAGCCCTTGCCCACGTCACCATAGCCTGCCACCACCGCCACCTTGCCTGCAATCATCACGTCTGTGGCCCGCTTGATGCCATCTATGAGGGACTCCCGGCAACCATACAGGTTGTCAAACTTGCTCTGAAAGGAGAGGGTGCAAGGAGTGACATGGGCCTCAAGGCCAGGCTCCCTTAAGCCTCAGAGTCTTCACAGAGCCCAGGTGCCTTGCACCAACTCTATCAGCCTGGTGGGCCTGGGGCCGATCATCTTCTGTGACTCCTTCCCTCCAGCTAAGCCCCCCACATATTTTTTATCCTGATCCGCTCCAAGACCTTCTCGCTAGCCTTTCTCTGCTAGTCCAATAGCCTTCCTCAAAAACCCAGCTCTGAAGCTCACTGTGTAGTTCCCCTCTTCAATGCACTCATTACCCTCAGTCTACAACCCCTTTTTCCCCTTAAATGAGGGTGTCATATCGCCAGACTGCAGCTTTCCTGGGGCCCTTCTTCAAGGGCTTACTCCTAAGCTGTGCCGGGAGCCAAGAGTGGAACTGTCACTGCCCCATGGGCTCACCTTGGTGACCGAGTCGTTGACATTGATGGCAGGCACCTTCAGGATCCCGTTGGCCATCATCTTGTATAGGTTGTGGACCCCAGTTGTGGTCTCCTCGGAGATGCCTCGGATGCCTGAGCAGGAGGGAAAGCAAGAAGCCTCAGGCTCAGCCCTCAATCTTATTCAGGCCAGGAAGGGGCTGCTGAGGGATGGGGAGGCCTCTGGGATGAGGCCCCAGGAGCTTCAAAGAATACACCCAAACTCACCCAAATTCTCCATGTTTGGCACTTAAAGCCACTCTTACTTCTGGGTCCCCATCTCCATGACTGGCACCACAGTGCACTCAGTCACCCAGGTCTGCATGAAGAAGCCACTCCTGATGCCCCCTCAATAAGAAACCAATCATCAAGCCTAATGTCTACCTCCCAACTCCCAGCTTCTCCATCCCTACTGCCACTGCCCTAGTCCCTGCCACCATCAGCTGTCCTAATCTCCTTGAAACAATCCATCCTCCACACAACAGCCATATACAACAAAAAGTTTCCCATTCTAACCATTTTTAAGTGTATGACTCAATGACATTAATTACATTCAGCATGCTGTGCTACCATCACCACAATCCATTTCCAATGTTTTTCATCTCCCTAAACAGAAAGTAGTAACTTCCACTTCTCCCTCCCCCTAGTCCCTTGGTAACCACTAATAACCTTTTAGTGCATTTTTCTATCCGAGATACTTCATATAAGTCGGATTATGCAATATTTGTCCTTTTATGTTTGACTTATTTCACTCAGCATAATGCTTTTAAGATCCATCCATGTCGTAGCATGTATTAGGACTTTGTCTCTTTTATGGCTGATCATATTCCATTGTATGTATATACCACGTTCGGTTATTTCTACCTTTTAGTTATTGTGAACAATGCTACCACGAATAGTGACATACACATATTTGTTTGAGTATCTGCTTTCAAGTCTTTGGGATATATATCTAGGAGTGGAATTGTTGGGTCATATGGTAACTCTCTGTAATTTTTGAGGTACCACCAAACTGTCTTCCACAGTGACAGCACCATTTTACATTCCCACCAGCAACGGATGAGGGTTCCAATTTCTCCACATCCTCGTTTTTCTGATAATAACCATACTAGTGGGTGTGAAGTGGTGTATCATTGTGGTTTTGATTTGCATTAGCCATTTCCCTAATGACTAATGTATATCTTTTTTGGAGAAATGTCTTCTCAAGTCCTTTACCCTTTTTTTTTTTTTCAATAAAAATAGGGAAAAAAATTTTTTAAAAAATCTTTTTATTATGAAAACTTTCAAACATACAAAAGTATAGAAATTATATTACAACAAGCACTTTATCATATTGAGTAATCATTTGCTAGCTTCAGTTATTGGCAATAATTGCTTTAAGACACATGTCACGTCTGAGCCCCGCATCTTCATGAGCTCCCTGCTTCCAACAGTAGAGGAAGGGGTCCAAGAATGATTGCATGTTCACTTTCTAATGAAAGGGTTTCCTTCTTCCTAGACAGGTCTCCTGGTTTAGAAATGGTGGTAATTTTTGCCTTCCCAGGGATTTCAGTGCAGTGTCAGAATTTGACCCATTGACACCCATGAAAATTCCTGTTCATTTTTTAGGGCTTTCTACTAGTCAACATTGCCATTTTAGGCGGAAACACCCAGAATTGATTTACGTATTTTAAAACAAGTTCAATATTTTTGCCATTGCAGCAACTGAAGAACTACAGTGATAGGTTATGGCACATTTCTGTCCATTCATGTTTTGGAAGATGAATTAATGAAAGGAATGAAACAGATCTTGGTTAATATGCTGATTTTTTACAAATTACTTGCTATGTGATTTGAATAAAGTTTTTAATCTTTCTGGCCACATCAGTAGGCATAAGAATGCCCATCTCAGAGTGTCATAATGAAGATTAAATACTCTCTGTGCAAACACCTTGACACAAGCCAGGAGTTCAGTAATACCACTGCCTTCCCTTAATTCTTTAATAGAAGCAACAATAAGGAATGTTGGTTCATATTTTAGAGGTAGATACACTCTGAAATTTGGACTCTTTTGGGAATTTATAGAAGGCCAATATGAACTCTGTTATAGGTGTTGAGGTAATGGGTGGGTTAAGGTGAGGGGGTGCTGAGAGATCCTGACCTTCTATCTTTTACGACAAATATGAACATTTTTTGAGTAACTGATGATGAAAATATTTTTTGCACTCTTGATTTCTCTCTGTGAAAGAGTATTTGGAAGGCCATTTATTTTTGCTGCTGCTCTTTACCCATTTTTCAATTGGGTTATCTTGTTCTTAATCAGCCGCCAATTTTTTCCCCTTTTATCGACCAAATTTTTTTTTATTATTGGGAAATAATTTAACAAAACATTTGTAAATTCACACACCCAAGTTCATGGCAGCATTGTTCACAATAGCAAAAAGATGGGAACAACCTAGATGCCCATCAACAGATGAATGGATAAACAAACTATGGTACATACACACAATGGAGTACTATGCAATGAGAA